ATTCCGTAATGGTGGATTGTATACGAGTGGTAAGTTGGGTGGGTAAAATCGATCCAAGTGTGATTAAAATCATGGCGCACGGCGTGGCGTTGTAGCTAAAATCGGTAGAGCGTTGGCTGCCTAAAGGCCACCCTTCTGTGCGGGTTCGACTCCTGCCGACGTCGCGAGTTTTTTCACAATTGAGTCAACTAAAAAATTACTGACTGTATTTTATATCTACTGCAACTTCCTGTGCATGTATCATCCGCTTCTGCTACTGTTTTCTTCTGATGCTTCTGAGGAAAAATCTACGACGGATGTCGAAACGTCAGGCGAATAAAAGAGTTGACCCAACGATCGATTCTTCTTCTCATGTACAACACATCCTCAGTTGAGCATAATTTTCAGCTGAGTCCAACGCGCACGCGTATTTGCGGCTATAAGCCATTAACCTGTCCGCACTAGGGCGCTCACCTGGGAATTTGTGTGTACTCACCGTCTTGAGACGGTAACCAGTTTCCTAAATATGATCAGTACATTATATATACTATTCCCCTCAATAAAACGCTCAAGTACCATTTCAAAGGCATCATAGGAGGTGAATTTGTGGCCGTGTAAAAAGTGTGTGACAGTAGCTCATTCGCCGTCATTATCCCCACCATTGCTTTTAAGGCGGAATATTCAAGAATCCGTTCGTAGAAAAACCCACCAATTAGCGAACGGCGCGAGCATCCAATAGGAAAGGTTGCGGGTTTGACAATCCTATAATTATACAGCACTCATTTCTGTAGGGCAGTTTCTCACCAAAAGTGCGCGCTTTCATAATTCTCGGCTGTCGTTAATCGTCTCATCGCCTGTGGGATGTTTATATTCTCCGCCATTTTCGAGCTGATGCCAAACTTTTTGAAAAGATCTCAGGAGGATGGTCTTCTTTTCGATTTCAGGACTGTACGCGATTTTTCAAAATGGACCGAAATTTCGGATACAGTTCGTGCAGCCGGGAGATCCAAGGCCATAATTACATCACATCACGGAGCAGTAAGTGTATACTTAGCAACTGATGGAACTGTCCAGAAATTTGGTTGTGCAATCTTCTTCTACCTATTAGATCCACTACCAAACGGTGCCTGTTTCGCAGGTGTGAGGTATAATGGCACCCGGTGGAACCTGAGCGACTACGATGGAATCGAGGCCGAATTACGTTGCACAGGGTCCAATGAGTGGTTTAAGATCGCCTTTGACCAAAAGTACTCATACGAAAAGCAGTTCCAGGTGTGTTTCTCGTGAACCTTTTTCATGCCAAGGCCTCAGTATTTGGGTGTGCTTCCTTGTTTTATTCGAGTTCGTCCTTACCTTTTATAGATTTTTGTTCAAATTCTAGATTTCAGTGTTTTGATTTTGGTGAAACCTTCTTATATTACTTTTCTGCTGGTTTACAAAACATACTGACTAAAATTGACTGTCTATGGTCAGTAATTAGTTGAATAACCCGGCCATGGTCCTGATATCCATAGTTAACCCAAGCCTCGTTAGGATAACAACTGAAAATACAACGGCGTTATCCATAAAACCAGACGTCACACCTTAGAAGATGATAACAAAGCCTCCTCTTCAGAATAAAAACATTTTCAAAGAAATGTGAAAGTGCTTTGTTCAAGAGTTATATATGTTTCAAATATTGCGGGTAGACCATGCCCGAAAGAAGTCTCATAACATCGACGCACCTGTGAAATTAAGAGTTCAGTGTCAACTAATAAGTTTACAAGACTTTTCCTCCAATTTAAAGGAAGATAGCTTCAGTACTCTGTATATTTTTGAATTAGTGTGTCCTCGTTCGAGGTGGTGAGCGTAGGACACTGGCAACCTTCTACGAATTTCCATGGAGATGACCTGCATGGCTCCAACTTATCAACTTACGTGCATAAAGGCCGGGAAGTCATGCAAAATTCGGAAGGTTGTGATAGATTTATAATCGCTCAAATACCAGCATAAATGTACGTAGGAGATTTTAGAAATAATAAGGAATAACCTTCGGCAAATTTGCTTCTTAAAAGATGTGTAAACAGTTCTAATTTTTTGATAAGAAAAACAGAATTTTATGAAGTTCTCAAGTTCCACAGACGTAAAAAATAGTTATAGATTAGAACAATAAATTTAAATCTTATCGGAAGTTGAATAGATAAATATACTTACATTAACAGAAAATTTCCTTTATCCTAAATATTTAAAACATATTTCCGTTGTTGGAGTACTACTAATTTCAGATCTTATTTTAAATTCCAGCAAATTATCGACGATTCTGGAAGGGATATTCTCTAAGCTTATCTTACTTGTTTTGACGTTCTTTTGCACGTAATAGCATGGAAAACGTCTTCGATTCCAGGCTACCGCCAATTTTTTAAAAATAAATGCCTATTACCTACATCCTACTGAAGGGAAAAGGCAGTTTACCCTACTAAGAGGTTTCTCGGGATTCAATCCACTCATTAGATCCAAATAACGTGACTAAATCTATGCTTAACTACCAAGTTCAATTTCCTCAAGACTTTTTCATGATTTCCTTTGTGAGTGTCCACACACAAGCGTGTGTATAATGCTAATTTGAATAGTTACAAGGTCAATGCTCCATTCCGTGGGCGCTTAATTTTCCAGTGAGTGGGTACTTTACCCTGCTCGACATTTTTATGCTCCGAGGGCTTTGTCGTGAACACGGTGTATAGACAATGCTTGTCAACATGAAGTTTTGATAACATACACTGTATATAAACCAGCTTTATGCGTCCCACAATAGTCATATTTAATATCTTTGGCTCTTGTTCCTTATTCCAACTTAAACTAAAGTTTGCGGTAAATGGCTGCCATCCCTCGGCGGTTGAAATTTTCAACTCTTATTTGCTGTCTTATTAAACAAAAGTGAAGTATTCCTTCGCCGTTGTAAATTCTCCATTTTGCCGACCACCTGTATGTACATTGTTTCTTAAGTAAAAATCTAAATTCTAATGGCGATACTGATTCCTAATATGACGGCCTTCCCTAAATTAAAAACCTATACTTTTTACGAAATTTGAACTAATAGAAGTGAAGATGCGAGTTCCAGGAAGCAGTTCAGAAGAATAAGAAGAAGAAGAAGAAGCGATAACTGGAACAAGAGTTTTATTTTCCTGACGTTTCGGATTCCGTCGGGAATCATTAATCATTGGCTATGGTAAGATAGTCTGAGCTATGCGCAGATAGGGGCTGATAAATGCATAGGAAGAATTAAAGAATCCATCCCCTTTGTACATACTCCATCTTACCCACTACCTGCCCAATGCTTCTGAAGTAAAAGCTTAAAATGAAATGCTGAAAGGTATTTCTGAGATGGCCACCTTCAGACTCAGAAATTCTGAAGAAAATTAAACTCGGACGCTGTTTTTAAGGCATTAAGTTCATGCGTTACTCACTGTGTAAGTTTTTGTCAACCTTGTTAGATGGTGAAACTCATTGCATATATAGAGGTAAGGGAGTCCAAATATCTTTTTAGCGCACTCCTTATTCAGCAGGGGTGTTTTATGCACATGACAGTCACTGCAGATTGATCCCTAATCTCCACAGACTCAGCATGGTAACCTTAACAGAGTTACTTGTCCAGTATATAAGCCCTTTGCAGACCCACCAGTGGTTTAATTGAAATGATGGTAGGAGTACTTCGTGGGGTCCCCTTGGGGGGGCGCGCGAAGCGCCCCCCGGGATCTTACGGACTCCTGATTTAAGGGGAAAGGACGGGTGGGGCATGCCAGGGAACAAATAAGTTCGCAATAATCCTGTAAAATAAAAAAGCTAAGAGGGTAAGTTGGGGCGCGTATTCAAACCTTCGGCAGGGACACCGAAGTACGCTTTAATATCTTCGCTTACCACATAATGGGCCAACGGCGAACGCGTGTATGTAGGGGGAGTGTGCTCTGACCTCGCGCAAAGGCACTGAGGTACATTTTCTTGTAGTATCACTAACCCCAACTAAAATAAAGATTAACGAATGCAGAAATTGGAAGATTTTGGAATTCACCCTACTAAAAATTTGTATTTAAGCGATTACTCCCGTCGGTAAGTTGAAAAGCCGTTCTTTTACTTAATACACTGAGTTAAGCGGTTATTGTATGCGGTGACCTTCCAAGGACCCCTCTGTAGTTCGATGCCATCACCCAATCCCTACTGGGTCAACGGCCGGCGAGCAGAAAACCGGAAGATTGCGGGCAATTCAACCTACTTAAAGTTTGTACGTAGTTGGTTATAATGCATAAGGACCATTCTGCGGCCCCAGTAAGTACTCCCACCGAAATATGATTAATTTCCCCAAAACCACTTGTCCTTTTCAGGCACCCTCAGAATTCAGCACGATACGTTTCCCGTTTTCGGAGATGAAAGCTTTCCACCGAGGCAAACCCGTGGACAATGCTCCCCCGCTGAACACGTCCAATCTCGACTTTGGTATCCAAGTCTTTGGTGGCATCTATGAAAAGTTTAAACAGTCCGGGCCTGGTAGTCTTCAAATAAACTGGGTGCGGGCCTACAAAACCCCAAAATGAGTCAGTCAAAGCCCACCAAACTCTTAAACTGCCATAAACCGATTTTTATCCTCTTCTAATTTACTCCTCAATGTACACTTTCACCACGTAGATTCTATTAAATGGTTACTTCATTGCACTTTCCTATACCTAATCAGAAATTTATGCCATTACTCCCGGTTTCAGAACATTTGCTAAGGTATCATGTTCTCACCTCCCCCCAATCTGTCAGTATCCTCTCCCATACGTCCCGTATGGTTCATATAGAACAGTTTAATCGCTGCGATCAATGGGGTTCACCGTGCACCCCATAGGTGGGCTGACACGAAGATGGTAGCTTGCGCCTGAATTTATATACAGTGGTAGCGCACTTGCGAAGCATCTACCGCACCCTCCTCTCACTCCTTCCCGAGCCCGGTGCTGAGACGGGGTCAGATAGAGCAGAGACTAGATCAGGGGTAGTAGCTTACAAAGCTAGACAGTCCGGCTGCCCGTTCAACGTACGATTTAGTCCGCGCACTGCCAACCAGTTTTGTCCAGAAACGAAAAGGCGACGAATCGTATCCCAA